TTTTTTTATTTAAAGTTTCAAAAGTGTAGGTTATGCCTATTGCCCAACTGCTCTCTGCGTCATGTATTTCTAGAAGGGCAAGATATCAAGATATCATTTAATGATTATTTACTAAAGTGAAAGGTGATAATTATTCTGCAAAACTTCCACAGATCCACAACCTTCCACCCTGACTCCCATGATAATTAATATTCATCTTTCCACTGAAGGCAGAGACAAATATTCAGAATTTCTAATTGCATTCTTAACTGTCCTAATTTTAATATTGTGTGGAGCAATTGAATGGCATCTTTTTGTTGATTTTCAAATTATAGATTTCCTTTTGTTGTTGTTCTCACTGCCATTTTCATTTGATTTTCAAATATGAATCAGGTGAAAATTCTCAGAAGATAAATCATGCATATTTCATTTTTTTCACTTATCATAAGCCACTTCCTTGCTCCTTTATGCCCATGGACTACAGAGATACATGTGATATCAAAAAATGGCAGGGCAGGTCATATGTTCTTACTACTGAAAGTCACTGCTTAAATGTGATGATTACAAAACCCCATTGCACACAAAAATCAGTCACATCAGCTTGAAATGAGTTTTTGGTTTTGAATTCAGCAGAACTCACACACATATGTTTTCTGAGCAAAATTCTGAAAGTATAAAGCAGCACATTAAACATGAATGAAAACATAGACAACTTATCTATATCTATAATCTATGTATGTATTGCTTTATATCTTCAGAACAAAAAGTATTATATATCATAAACAATACCCAATGACATTCCCATACGTGGCTTAACGTAATACAATAGTGCATTAACCTTCAAAATAAATGAAGGCAATAAAGAACACATCAGAAGGAACTAAGAACAGCAAAGTTAAAACAAAAAACTACATTCATTTGGGATTTCTGGGACAAGTTAATCAACTTATAAAACAGCATCCTTCCTAAATCTTTCCATTGTGCATCTTAGCCAATTCTGCTACTTACGTAAATTAAACCGCAACACAGCAGAAAAATAAGAAAGTTATTTACTAGCTCTCCAGATCACTTGCCTAATTGTATGGAATATAGCAGAGATAATCAGCTCATTGTGAACTGCAACAGCCATGTAGCGTGGCTCATGAAATGCTGATGGGACTGTCCGCACTGCATAGCAGAGATAAACACCCCACAAGAGGAATAAAAATTCAGCTGTGTGAACAAAAACAAACAACTTTCCATTAGTTTTAAAAGCAAAGAAAAAGTAAAATTTAAGTTCTTTAGCATGCACTTTGTGTCTATTACAGGAACATAAATTTAGTTAGAAATCGACACATGTAAAATATTCACATATGAATATATATGCTATACATTAAAAAAATTTATTCAGTGTACAGAAGATTTTTTTCAAAGGTATACTTTATTTTACTATTTTTTTTAAACAGTATCTGAGACTTCTAAAAAATTTTGTTTGCTAATACCTGGCTTTTCCCTAAAACAACTGTAAAATAATTTTCCCTATTGCCGACGTAGTTTACGTTGTTCATAGCACATCTGGGTCAGAATAAAGTCATCAAGGCAACAAAAGGCTTGTAATGTGTTGATATGCAGCTTCTAGAAATTTAGATTCTTACTGCATCGAATGTGGTTCAATACATAAAGATACCCTTTGCCAGAAATGTGAGAAAACAGGTTGCTAAACATTCAGTGGCATATTTTATAAATGAACCATTATTTCTTCACACATGACAGATACCATATCTTTTGTGGGTGGAGTGCTGAAGGCTTAGTAAAATTCACAATTACCTTGTTTGCTCACTCAAGAGAGAAGAGACAACCACAGTGGAACAGTTAAGGGTAAAGGCTTTAGAAGCGCACTAGACCTGCATAGAAACCCTCGTTCAATCCCTAATTACCTTGCATAATCTGAAGCAATTTAACCTTTCTGGCTACAGTTTTCTTATCTGGAAAATGAGGATAATAAAAGTACATATTTCATGGGATTATTTGCTAATGAAATCAGATAATGGATGTAAAGCACTTAACATGGTTTCTGACATAAATGTGAGATAAATAAATGTATAAATAAAAACATAGATGTGAAATAAATGGTTATCGTTAAAACATGTCATTTGACAGAATGTTGCTATTTTAGTTTATTCTGACCAATAACTGTGACAACTCATTTTATCTGTCTTAGTGACATGACCTCACTGGAAGATAATATCTAGTTAACAAGGAGAAAGATCTAATTTGGAGGAAACATTTTATCTGATGCATTACCTAGAGGTAACCCACTTTATACTGAAGCACTGACTTCCATTCCCATGTGCCAAGGTGTTCTACCTGCCAAAGTTTTAGCATATTTCTATCAGTATTTAAACAATGGGTAGTGCCCCGATTGTTGAAAATCCCTCAAGTAAACACATTTGTCAAGTGTTACTCTAAAGTCCTGATGTGGTTAGAAGCCAAAGGACAAAATGAACCTCACTTAAAGATCTCCCGGGATTTAGTGGCGGTTCCAATTACTCAGTATCTTGGCCCTCAGCCATGTGCTGTGACTGCTCATTCCAGCCGAGCTCTATTGGATCAGGAAAAGCAAATCAGGAAATGCTGAGGTCTTCATGTATAACTTTCCTCACTCTTGTATTTCTGTCCATGGTACTACTATTGCATCTTTACCAGGGTTGAAAACTCAGAGGCACCTTTCATTGGCACATTTCTATTTGGAGTTATTCCTCATATGTATTATTCCTCTCGAAGCCCACAATTACCGTCCTTGCCTAAGCTTCTTGTTACAACTATTGTTCAAATGCCCCATCTAAACCTGGCTTCACCCTGTGTTAATCTATTCTTTGTAACAGTGACAGATTCATTTTTCTGAAACTCCACTTTGATCGTATTAGGATTTGTCCAAATCTCGGTGACGCCATTTTGGTTAACTGATTCCCATTCCCATTAGAATATTCACTCATACCCACTTAGGATGCTGTAAATAATTCCTGCCCCCCCAAAGGAAGACTATAATAAGGGGTTCCTGCCAAGGCAGACACACATCCTCCTAACTTTTGAGATTTTCTTGCTGCATAGGTTTCATTACTTGGCCCACATTACTTGGCCTTGTTATTTTGTGCTTTATATTTCTCAGACCCTGACTTCTTGTCTAGTCTCTGACTCTCAGGCCAGCCTTTTGTGAGGTATTGCATGCATCTTCATTCATACATCTTTAGTGGCTCACTATTATTTGACAAATGCTTGGTGCTGGCATTCCCAGTCCTCTACGACTCTATGTTACATATCTAACATGATCTCCCAATGCTCCCCAACACGAACCCTGAGCTGACCCAACCCAGGAAGATTCATTGTCCATTTGAACACTCCAAAGATCTTTCTTGCTTTTGAATCTTTGTTCATGCTATTGTTCACACAAGAAATCTCCTCTCCCCCACATTTTCAAATCTTAACCAAGTTTTCAATGTCCAGTTCAGGTCTCACCTCCATCACAAGGTCACCTGAAATGATTCTAACCTACACTGAGTTTTCCTTCCTCTAATCTCTTGCAGTCCTTGCATATCTACAATTCACAATGCGGAGAGTACTACCACACAATATGTAATAGGAGACTATTGTTCATGGAGTCTTGTTAGTCATTCCACTCCTCGGGCCCAACTACATATGACCTCCTTCAGGGAAAGAATTGACTCTTTCAACTATTTTCTTTTATACCTTTGCCCACATAGCTGACAGCGCCAGCAGTGAGCAAATAGATGAGATTTAATAAACATCTGTTGAAAGGAATGAACAGAAATTCTATCAGTTTTGCGTTACTGGAGATGTAGACTTTCTGTTACCTGGCCGTGCCATCTCACAGTGCAGGGCCCATGCAGGATCTGAAGCTCATACTGTCATTGGTATTAATAGTGGCAACCCCTATTTATAGATGGACCACAAAGTGTGTGGCACTGCTCTTGGCACTCGAGAATGGTGAATGCAAAAATATTACTAAACAATACTAGCACAAAAATATGCTGTAATTGAAGGATTCATACGTAGCTGAATTAAGAAAACATTATCTCCTGCCAATCATCACAGTATTTTTATATAATGTCATACTGAAGATTAAAAAAAAAAAGGAAAGTAGTTAGGTTAATTACTGTGCTATGATGAAGAATTATATTGAAAAATATAAAACAAACTAAGACTCCTCATAATAGCTAAGTTGAACATTAAAGTCATTTCATTAGCAGTACAAAACAATATGCTCTAGCTAAAAAAATTTATTATTCAAAATACCAATTAAACTAAATGTGATATATATAAAAGTTGTTCTGGGAAAAAAATCAGTTTCTTATAATTAACTTCAGACTAACACTGCAATCAGTAAAGAAAATGTGCAGATGTTACCAAATTTTGCAGTGTTATTACGTGGGAGTTGAAATATGTGTTGTGATTCTGCTTTAGAAAATAATTTCTGGTATTAAATGATTTTGATGGAAGGCATGGGTGTAGTAACAAAAGGAATCACATTTACATCTGAAGATCCAAATAGGGCTTTCAGAAAACTGAGGTATTTTAACGTATAAAGGGTAACACTAAGTTTAAAAGTTAGGGCCGGCCTGGCCGAATGGCACAGTTGGTTAAGAGCTTGCTTAAGAGTGTGAGCTCTGAGCAACACCATTGCCGGTTCAATTCCCACATGGGCCAGCGAGCTGCACCTGAGCTGAGCTGTCGCTGAGCTGCCAACAGGTGGCAGGGTGGCTCAGCTGGTGAGAGCACGTGCTCCTAACAAAAAGGTTGCCTGTTCCAGATGGTGGGCTACGCACAATCACAACTAATTGAACACAGCACCTTGAGCTGAGCAGTGCAACTGGACTTGGAGCTGAGCTTGCTGAGCCCTCCACAACTAAGATTGAAGAACAACAACTTGGCTGCTCCCCTTTCCCAATTCCCCAACACTATTTCCCTCCCCCAATTCCCCAATAAAATTTTAGAAAAAAAAAAGTTAACTAGTACAGCCTTTAAAAAATTAATATACCATAATGAAAGTAATCTCAAGTTATCTTTCTAAAGGGGTGGGCCAAGCAAAGAAGTGAGAATGATTATCAGTTCTTTGATACTGACATGTGCCAGCCCTGAGATCTAAGATCACCTACGAAGGCTGTGGGAAAACCAACTTCAAAGTGCAAATGTCTCTCAAGCTGTGACACCCTTGTTTGCCATGTTGTAAAAACATTTCGTATTAATATTATAACGTTTTACCCTCCTTAGCCCCTTTGACAATTATTTATATATGACATAAATACATACAATAATGAAGAAGTTTTCCGTTTTTCTTTTCCAAGTGTTTCTTTTAAAGTCCTCTTCTATCTTTCTCTAAATATTATCCACTTAGAAAATTCATGGTGAAAGTCAACTTATCATGCTTTTATTCTAATATGGTGGGTGCTACAGAAGTTAAGTATTAAATCAAACAGCTTTAATAATGCTTGAAAATAGCTCAAATCCCAGCATTCTAGGATTCAACTGGCATACAGACACCTTGGTATTCTGAGGCTTATTTGCATTTTCTCTGGTTCAAATAAGGACAATTATGAGAGTTACAATGATTAAAACAATGAGAATGATACTTTTGAAAACATTTTAACATTGAAAGTGACCTTATTTGACCATGTAGTCTGGTGATATATTTCAGAGTTTGTCTATGGCCACAAAGCGGGGTGGTGGGTGAGTTGCCATTATTCTGCTTGCCATGAGGTCAGTTTATTCAGCATGGGATGGAGAAGGAGGTGGGTGTGCGACATATTTCACAACTAGGACAATGGAGGGCAGAACATCTGTTTCCTTCTCAGCTCTCTGGGAGCAGTGAGCCCCAGGGACGGGCAGAGTTGGCTCCAGGACATGCCTGCAGAGAATTGTGTTCTACCCAGCTGCGTTCATTGTGTTGGCAGCAGGACAGGACCTGGAACCCAGGTCTCCTTGGTTCCTGACCAGATTTTCTAAATCATCTCCGTGGGCTGAGATTTTTCCTGGGCTCTGTTACTAACAGAGGCATAAACGAAACTCTTGGAAATATTTTTATCGTATTGAAGAAAACATTTCTTTAAGCAACAATTATTTATATTTCAAACAACTAATACGCAAATTAGATAAGCCAGTGGTCATAAAAGGGGTTCTACTAGGAAGTACTTTTTGTCCCCTCAGTTAACCTGACTTCATAGGTGACATTTGTTGAAGTGCCAGACACTGTGCTAAATACATTTTTTACAGTATCTACATTTATGAAGGTTTTATTGTAGAACTTGTGATTCCCTTAAAGAGGCTGAGGGAAAATTCAGAATGCTGGAATTTCAAGCTTGGATAAAAAATAATGTGTGGTAATATTAAGGAATAATCTGTTAATCACACAAACTATACACATCATATAGAGGCTCGATTATTTTCTAACCCACTCCCTGAAGCAAGAACTGCCATGACTGGTCACATATTTGCATATTGGCTTTTCCTGTTTTGTTTTGTTTTAGCTGAGCCATCCTGCTACCTGTTGGCAGCTTAGCTCGGGCTGGGAATCGAACCGGCGACCCTGTTGCCTAGAGCTCACACCCTTGAGTGAGCTCTTAACCAACTAAGCCACTTGGCCAGCCCCATGTTGGCTTTTCTTTATTGCTTCCTTTCACAGCTCTCTAGAACTTGGATCAAGTTCTTCAAAACCTCCTCTGGATCTTAAGTGGGAAAGGTAGAAAAAGTATATATTTTCTGGTATATACAATTTAAGATTTTTAAAGTTTGATACGGGGTGACAGAAATTCAGTGAAACACAGATACTTCAGGGCTCTGCACCCACATTGAAGATCATGAATGAGAAGAGCTCACAAAAAATAAGACTAGAGACCTCTCACTATGTCACAGGGTCAATGTCAGGGAAGAAAGCTGTGTCTTCCAGTAACATTACTCTAATTTTCCTTTCCCTGTTATTTGCAAGTGTGTTGTTTGTGGGAAGGGGTTGGAATTGGGATTATCTGTTAACATTTAAAAAATCTATTTTAAAATTTCAACATCTTATGAAAGACTGTCAGCATTGACATGATTTGCCTTAACTGGGCTACATCACTAGAAACTCACACTCACTTTTTGAAGAACTAGTTTGAGTGGCTTTAGAGTGACTGTGGTGGGTGTTATATTATTGTTTATTTATATTCCACCTCTGTGGAAAAATATTTTATTGAGTTGTCGGAAAAGTCATGACGTATTTTGTCTGTTTTTCAAAGGTCACTTATTTATATAAAGAACAAAGATCAATCAATGATATATTGCCTGTTTCGTTCGATAATATTTTGCCATCTTTCATTGAGCTTCATAATTCCTCGTTCATAGAAGGACCTGTCTTTATTTGTGAAAAACTGAACAAGGTGCTGATTTACAGCCTCATCTGAATTGNAACCATATGGTAGGTATCATGGTAGACAACACGGATGCATAAAATATGGTTCTTGTCTTCTAGAAGTTTACAGTCTAACTAGAAATAAGTGTGCAAATAGCTACCATATAAAACAGCATATCTTATGTTGTTTGTTGCTAGTAAGTTTAGTAACCTAATAGAATAGGTATGGTATTGATCTGGGCCTTGATGGGTATCAATATATAGAAATGGAGAAAAGTGGAGAAGACAAAAGGAGATATAGAATATCCATTACACAGTACAAGCCAAGGAATATCAGTTGTCATTGAGGGACAATGGGTGGAACTGTTTGGCAAGAGGGGAAGTTTTTCTACAACCCACAGGAAGTCATGGGGATTTTTCAAGTTATTGTGAGGGGCTTTCATCAGGCTGAGAATCACTGCTTCATAGAAAAATAGTTATGATTTATATTTTCTTTCCATGGGCAAGATGTGGGAAATCATTTATTTTTTTGATACTTGAAGATTTTCACAATCCACATTGAAACTCTAAAACTCAAAGAAAGTTAATAGTGGATTTAAAAAATAACTTTAAAATACTTCTTTAAAACACTTTAAAGTATTTCTTAACCAGGTGAGCTTGGTTTTTGCAGAGGAATCTTATATGATCCCATTTTGGTGAACTTTTAATAAAAAAAATTCACTTCTAAATTATAATACCGTTTGGATATTCATTGTATAGTCTGGGAATTCAAGATTGTCATAGATCCTATAATTTCATTTCCAGAGAAGAAAAACCAAAGCAAAAGTCCTCATGAGTCTCCTGTTATGGATTTTACTGGCTTTCAAATACTAGGAAACACAATAACACAACTATGCACTTTGATCTAAGCATTTCAGGATATTGGTTTTTGTAAAATGGAATAAGATATATTTTCTAGCATTGCCTTAAAATAAAATGAGGAAATTTGACTGTATCTTTAAAAAAATGAGCTCTTGTTAGTTTATATGGGATCACTCCCTAGAAACCAAGTTCTAAAAATGAAATCTTTAGGCATGCATTTATATAAAATACAGCTGTATAAAAATATAATCATTAAACTTCTTATATAGATTATTTTTTCTACTGTTTTTTTTTTCATATATAAATCTTTAGGCTATCTTCTGTTGGGAGGTTCACTATTTCTGAAGGAAAAGCAGTCGCATATACAAGAGGATTGTGAGAAATTTCAAGAACTAAATATAAAAAGGCATTTAAAGTATACATTCAGTTCTCATCATTAATAGTAGCTAAGTTCATAGAAATTATGTTGCAATTATGAAAAAAATCGGGCAACCTAGGAATTGGTTGTCACTGTATTGTCTGCTTCTACATTTTCACTTCCCACACATTTCTGGTTTGAGCTCATAAAACTCCACTGTAAGGACCTGTACTTAGGTTATAAATTACCTTCTTTAAACACAGTATCTAACTGATATTGTTACTCCTTATTGTANGAGGAGCCTGGCTTTGTTTTTGTGTAATACTGGACTTGCAGAGAATTCCCAATAAATTATTTTTAGAGGAAAGACAGACTAGTTAGAGATTTTGCAGAGAAAATCTCCACACAAAGGGTGCCCTAGATTCCAAGTCTGGTATACCATAGGACCAAAACTATGTAAAAAATGCCAGCATGTTTCCTTTTTTTCTCCCAATAAAAGGACTAAGTCAAGAGAATAGCTACTGTTAATCAAATGGGAACACATTGGTAAGATAGAAAGCAGGAAGTGCTTCTGTACAAAGACGTTGCCTTTATTTACTGCATGTCTCCTTCCTGATTTACTTGACTATATTTTCACAATAATGCTACATACCTTTGAAAAAGAATGGAAACTTTCAGAAAAAAGTTTTCATTCCACATATCATTATTGTCCTTTTCATGATATTGTTTTACCAAAACCATATTGGGTGAAATTTCTTTAAGCTCTGTGAAAGGGTTTGACAAGGCTTCTAAAGAATTTCATTTTAACGCTACTGGAAAAAGGAACAAGACAATCACACTAAATAAGTGACCACATACCAACAGCTGTCATGTAATCCCAGCGCTCAGTGAGGCACATATTGAAGATGAGGTGATCAGATGTTTGCCCTTGGCCAATAAGTGAAATACGCCTCTCCAAATTCTGGCAAACAGATGAAGTCCAGCCAACGAGAAACCAAAATACTACCAGGAGTATTACGGCCAGCATCCTCATGACCCGTCCACCAGTCATGTATGGAATCCGTTGGGCTGTTCGTGAAAGAAACACTTTCAAAACCCTGGAAAAGCAAGACATTAAAAGCTGAAGGCAAACCTAACAATCAGAAAGTAAAATTCTAAAACATCTTATTTGCCTAGGTGAAATTTAAACCCTCCAAAACCTACTTAAGCAGAGTTGAAATGAAGAAAACCAGAAACAGTATTGTTTTCATTTTCACTTAATTTCATTCTAGTTTATATTCCAATAGCTGAACAACTATCCTACATTAGAGGACAGTGAGTCAACAGATTTGTATAGGATGGGATTCTTTTGAATATGTCTTTATATTTTAAGACAAATTCTCAGGACCACAGAAAGATCTACAGGCAAACATTGCTCAAAGAGGGTTTCTGAGGGACCTAAGAACAATCCTAATAGTGAGAAGTTGGATTTTATAATATTATACTAAATCAAAAACTTCCTGAACCAGTTTTTTTTTTTTACAGTAGAATATTATGAAAAGTATTTTCTGGAAATCAATTTCTATGACCCTCCTATAGTCATTTTATCACATTACCAAAAATAATAATGAATAAATATGAAAACAATGATAGGGATATTTAAATACTAGGGTAACTAAATAAGATCACTACATTAAGGATGAGAATTGGGATCAGCTATAAGAAATGGAGTGAGTTTTTAAATTTGAGGTTGTTTTCATGTATATGTGACTCAAAGCCAGGGTTGAGATGAATTAGATAATATCTAAAAACTGTTCCATCTCTAAATATTGTGTGAAGACAAAATCCAACCTTACTGCAGTGATCCATCCACCCACCCTTTATTAAAGTTCACTTCCAGAATAGTCTCAGCTGATTTTAGCTTCCATCCTCATTCTGATATTTTGTATCACAAAATTGTACTTGAAGAAACCACTGTAAGTAATTNCATTAGATTTATATTATATATATATATATATATATATATATATATATATAAAGAGAACTGCAAAGAGGCATACGCTACACATTAGGAAACATAAATTAAGAGTGGTTAAATACAGAATTATTCTACATGCTGAAAGATAAATGAAGAAAATTGCTGTAAGGTACTATGAAAAAAATTACAGCAACCACATCTTTGATTTTTCAAGACAGTCCAATTTCAAATAGTTGTTCCTCTTGTGATATCATGTGCTTGATTTTTCTTTAGAGAATGGTGTCATTGAAGAAAAAAAAATGTGTTATTGAAACTAAGGTGTTCCAGTAGTTTATAGGACAAAAACAATGACTGGGAGATAACAAAAATACTATCCTCAAACCAATTTAACTTCCTCTTGGTCTCTGCACTCTTTCACTACAGTCTTTTATTTTCTAAGAGACTCTAATGTTATCATTTGACACCTTTGGGAGTATTAGTTGAACTAATTCCTGTCTCTCAAGTCTTGCTACTTCTATCTCACCCCCAAAGCCATGACCTAGAACTTCCCATCATAACCAATCTGCTCTCTGAGTTTCTCTCTACCACCTTACCTTAATTTAGACCTGGTTATTGTCCAAGAAACTTCATCCCCTGCAGTCCTCAAGCCATGGGTCTTTATTCTCTCTTGTACTGCCTACCTCAGGGTCCCCAGGAAGGGGAGCTCAGGGTCCTTCTTGCTCTCTATGTCCCCCTCCCTGGCATTAACCAGAATTAATAGGTTAAAAAAAAAAGCCTACTTTTTTCATAGTTTCCTCCTCGCTAGTGGAAAAAATTGCCACCTTGTAAACTTTTCCTCTGGAGGAAGGAAGAACTTAGTGGCAGTCAAGTACAATTAAAACAGCCCATGACACCAAAGAGCTATTATAGAGGGAGTCGTTAAACAAATAAGCTAGGAGAGAATGTTGTGGTCAGAATGGAATTCTTCACTGAGCAATTTGGGAGGTGTGGGAGTTTCAGATAACAGAAGAGTCACATAAAGTGAGAGAATCCTGGAGATGAGAGTGTCAATGTTGGATGAGTGTGACACAGAAGTTAGCTTAAATGATACGAGGGAGAAAAAATTAGAATGGGGGGAATATAGAAAGATTCATAGATATGTAGGCAAGCATTGGAAGACACTCCTATCTGATGGCTCCTACTTAGTTTTTTAAGGAGTCATCGAAGGCAAAAGAGAAACATGGATAGTTTGGAGGTATGAAGAGAGGATACAATGTGAGACTTGAAATCAACATTGTGAAGACTGTTTTAGTGGTTGATCAGGGACACAGAGAGTATTATGAAATGCACAGAGCAGAGCTGAAATAGGTGATGATTATGTTGTAGTAAGTTTATCCTTTTACTTCCCCTGAGTCAGTAGTTCTGTACTTTAGAGGAGCATCAGAATCACCTGGAGAGCTTGCTACACAGATTGCTGGGCCCGCTATCCCAGAGTNGTTTGAGGCAAGTCATCACATCGGGACCAAGACCGTTTGTGCACCACACTGTTGTAAACAATTCACTTCTCATGACCAGTTATCAGCTGCTTCCAAAAAAGGGTTGTTTTCCTCATGTTTAATGAGCATATTGCAGATGTCAACTGAACTTCTTTTGAGTTCATGCGGAACCCAAATATCGAGCTTGCTTATGTATCCCAGCTTCTTCAGGTGGTCGTGAATGCTTGAATGATGGATGTTCAATGTTTCTGCAATCTCTCGTGTCGTGGAACATGGGTTTGACTCAATCAATACCTTTATTTTGTTGTCATCAAACTCGGTGGGCCTCCCTGTTGGAGGAGCATCGTTGAGATGAAAATCACCAGCACGGAATTTTGTTAACAATGGTTGGCACTGATATTCTTGTAGAGACTTGTCACCATAAACTTTATGCAACTTTTCACAAGCTTGACACGCATTCTTCCCTTTATGGAAGTAAAATATAAAATATGGCAAAAATGCACAGTTTTGTCTTCCATCTTCAACTTGTAAAATCTCCAAAGCTCTACCAAATCGCTCAGTTTTTTTTTACGAATGAAGCTAGAACTGTCAGCTGTCAAATAATATGCAATAACATAGATGCGAATGACTCTAGTACTTCCAAAAATGAACCAGCACCATCTGCGCAAACATGCTTCATGACTTTTCCGACAACCCAATACTTCCTTGCAGCATTGTTATTTGTATGATGCTAAAGGGCAAAGAGAAATAATAAATTAATTTATTTTATACCTGAACTTTATACTTACAGTGCCATCTTCTCTTCTGGAAGTTAAAGAAATTTTAACTTCCTTGTTAAATTTATAGCTTATAAAATCTTTGAGACAATTTTGCTGAGTGAGGCTTGGCTCAGGACTTTGCTTGACCACTGAGTAAAGATTCACGTGGTCATTAAAATCTGCTGTTCTGTTGGCCAAATGGTCTCTATGAGAGTCCTTTTAATACAAGGAAAAGATCTGCCAAAACCTTGACAACTGAGTTAATCTATGGGACATCTCTGTTCAAGCAATAAAAGAGAGCTTTTTTTCTTCTGAATGTTTCCTCTCCTTTAAATCCGGGGGTCCCACAGAAAAGCTGAAACTCCTTAGAAGAAATGGTAGTCACCACAGATATCTTAACTACTCTTGCTCCACGTTCCTCGAGTGCTGTCCCAAGATAATCCCCACCTTTCCCACCAGATTTTTTTAACTTCCAAAAGGGAAAAATGGCACTATAAAAATAAAATTAATATATAAAATAAATTAATTTACCCTTTCTCCCTGCCTTTCAGCACCATATATAAATAACTACTCTTTAAAGAAGTAAAATATCTTTCAGAAGAGAGGGCATATGAATAAACAAGAAAATAACTCCCACTTCCATCATTCTAGAAATATTCAAGTGAGACCTTCAAAAAGTATGTGTGAGTTTCTAGCGATGTAGCCCAAGCCAAGGCAAATGAACAGCCAATGTGTCAGGTTTTTGTCATTTGACTGAAAATTAAAAATACATTTAAAAAAATGGTAGCAAGCAGATAAGAATGGTAGGACATGAAGTTAGAAAAGCAATGTGGCCACTCTATCATCTTCTTAAATCCCAGCCTACTTTGGGGTTTATCTAGGGCAGTTTTTAATTTTAGTTCTCAAAGGAAACCAACTCATTAGTGAATCACTTTAGGTGTATATCTCCATTTCTAATAGATATCCCTTTCTCATTGTATTATTTTAGAATAAAGAATATTTTCTTTAATTCAAAAGTATTGCTCCTCTCACCCCTTACTCTCTCCTTTAGCATTATGGCTAACTCTCTTCTGTACACCTTCCTCTACCTTTAATAAAGCTTCAGACATGTAATTATGCCATTTTGGAGGGGCAAGGGGAAGGTTATAAATCACTTCTCCTTCCATGCCCTGAAAGGGCTTAATATATAGTGCTCCTCTTAGTTAATATGTAAAGATGAGTTAAAATGTCTCCAGAATTTGGAAGTAAAGTTAAAATAGGAAAAAAACAATATAAAATGGATGGGATTAACTTCTGAAGTGTGATTTATTTTAAGAGATCTGTTCATCTTTGACTAATTGGAAATACCAAAATCCAATTAAATTTTCTAAGGCAGTTTGTCATGAAAATAGGACCAAAGTCAAAAGAATATTTTGACTCTGTCATTGTAAACTTGACAGTTTACAAAGTAAACCTGTCATTGTAAACTTCCTTAAGAAGAAAAAAATAGTTTTAATCAAGGAGACACTGTCTAAGTGCAAAAGGAAAGAACAAAGTGCAGATATAGGAAGGATTAATTCATTTCTATTCAGGGTAGGTACAGAATTTTTTGAAAAGGTGCCCTGTTTTCAGCAGGGTTGTATAAAAAAAAAATGGTAGCAAGCAGTGCAGCGTGGATTAAGGCATGTGGTACATTAAAATAAAAAAAGATGCATGTAAATGCACCTAAATAATGGACATTAATCTAAGTCAGATGAAGAGGAAGTCTAAATCTATTTTCCTCAATACTCATTAAATGGTGCTTATATTGCATTTCATCAGTCATAATATGGCCTAATTTTCTAGGGTAATTAAGTATTTAAATCCTTAGGAACTAATGCTATTTTAGAATTTCCCTATATAACTCAGTAAGAGAATTACTGTAGTCT